ATTCAAAAAATATATCGTAACTAGTTGATTAATTTACCAATTAGTCGACTAGAAATATAAACAGAATAATAGTAATGCAGAAATAAAGTACAAGAATTAAAAATACTAGAATTTTGTATTGGTTCAGATTCAATGTGAATCCTAGTCCAGCTCTTTTGGGTTGCAAGGGTGTTCTCTTTCAGTGATCGAAGTTTCTTGTGTACAAAATGGTTGATGTAGCTATACACCAAAAGAATAATCTATATGCAAATTTTCTCTTCTTGATACAATATCTCGCCAATGTTTATCTACTTTTCTTCTCTCACTAATTACACAACAGATCTATAAGAACTGCAATGCTTGTTTGGAGTAGAACAAAAGGAGTGAAAATGGTTCGTTCAAAGTATATTTGCTTCAAGTCTGGAACGTATGTATATATACACTTTATGAAGCCTTTTTGACTCGTGAATCTGGAGGGATTGCAAACCCAAGGGAGTTGATCCTTAAAAGGATGTTCAGATTGATTCTTTCCAAGAATAAAGTTAGATTTCTATTGATCTTCCTTGATTTGTGGTCTTGATAAGCTTTTTATCCGCTACACATATCTTTTCGTTACTTGAGGCGTATTTGCTAGATCCCTTGATTTCTGCCTTCAACGGTCTTTAGTGCTTCCCTTTGCGATCTCGTTTCCTTCGATTTTGAGACATTCCAGTAATAGCTTCCATCAATCATTTATAGAATCACTGATTGGTTCTTCTTCAGGATCTCCGCTGCTTCTTTCTTTTTTCATTGCTAATCATTGATTCCTTTCCTTGCGTTGTCGATTGTTACCTTAATCTATTCTTGATTGGTATTGCATCTTGATTCATTAGTTTTATTCCTTGTGATCCGGCACCTAATGTGATATATTATTTTTCATCATTGAAACTTAGAGTTAACACTCCTGTCATTCCCAAAGAAAGGCAAAAAGGATGATGCTACACTCCATCAAAAATGGAGAAGGAAAAGATGAAATTCTTTTATAAGAGACTAGGACATGGATATTAGTACTCGAATTAGAAAATAAAAGGCACGATAATTCCATTTACCGAAGCTAAATCTTCTATGACAATTACATTGTTTCCATCTTTCTCAATGATCTCATAAGAGCCTCAAGGTGATATACATAGAATTCCTCAAAATCCATCCTTCTGTATTGCATTATATTTAGATGCCATGACAAGGAAAAAAATATAACTTAGGATCACAAGTAAGAGTGTCAAAATTCAATTAGATATGTGGATGAGATGATGCAGAGCATACTGAAGAACCAAAATCATGAATGCGTAATTCCTTCATGGAATCTGTTGCATTTTACATTAGGGCCTGGAAAAATCATAAGGTCAGGAAGATTTGCAACATTATTGAAATGATTTACCTTATAAGTTTTGTAGAAGATAAACCGCTTTAATATTATCCAAGTTTATGGTGTCATTTTTGTTCGGTTCAAGCAGCGCAAATTGCTGCTTTCAAATGGAACAGCTCACCTACAGTTAATATTTTTGATAAAGCATGCAAAAATCTAATGACAGAAAATTATAGGGCATGACATAAATAGTAAAAAAATAAACAAATAGCAAATACTAAAACTAATCAACTATATCATACACACGCCCATATAGCAGCTTTTCGAATAGCAGATGAATGCATGTATGCCTTCATGAGCTTGAGTATCAGTATGTCCAAAGGCACTTCTATGTTTTGACTATTCTTTATCCATTGATGACGTGAGACAGCAAAGTATTCCAGCAGTTTCATAAATATAAAGAACATAATTGACCTTTTGAAAGTTGCACAAGAAACTGACCCAAGGCCTGAGCTGCAGTCATTTTTTTTTCGAGGATCCTTTCAGCAAACGTTTCACAAAGTCTTTTGCTTCAGAAGAAAATGTAGGCCAAGGTTATTCCTTAAAACTTGGACCAGCCTTGAGGATGGTCCTAAATATCCGAGACTCTGTTCGAGCCCAAAAGGGACGGCTGCCACACCATAGGATTATGCAATAACACACACACAAACACACACACACACACACACACACACACATATATATATATATATATATATATATATATATATATATATATATCCCAAACATCAGTCTATGTACATAAGATTGATGTAGAACTTCAGGTTTTACATAATATGCACTGCCAACAATATCATTAAATCTTTCATCTGTAGAAGAATAAAGCATGAGAGTTGATCACAAGTATGTCGTGCTACTCAATAATATGAAGGGGCCGTTATTTTCCCTTTTTTCGTTTATTTGTATTATTTTTCTTAATGGAGAAGTTCCCAGAGGAACAAAGTAAAAGCATTAATATTGTGAGGGGAAATGGACGAACCTGACTTCACGAAATCAGACAATCCAAAGTCTATGGTTTTAAGTTGTGCATTTTCGTCCTTAGACGTGAACAAAAAATTCTGGTCCATGAAAAAGTACAGTTAGAACTGAATGAGCATAATACCAAGAAGGATTACCAAAACAAATAGCTTCTCTTACTACTTTATCACTACATCCAAGAAGAATAGTTGATTTTGAACACCTTTAATTCAGTAAGTCATACCTTATCCTTAATTCAATACTTTGAGAAATTCCCTACTGACCAATAAACACAATTACTCAAAACTAGTTGAAGTTTGTCAATCAGCATAGTTGACCATAGTTTAATTATAATATAATGCTAAACCATATTTTGTGAGTTAATTAGAGTTAAGGAAGTGATTTAGTTTGTTATAAATAGTGGACACGTGTACATTTGTTTTTCTTTTTCATTCAGAAATGTATCGAGCCTTTCTCTGATTCCCTCTTTTCTTCTAGACTCTTCTTCTTCTTCTTCTTCTTCTTCTTATCTTAGATCCCATTTCCATGGCAGCTAACATGGTATCCGAGCCACCCATTGAAATCTAAGCAAATTGCGAGCAAATCGAGTCTTCTCTATTACTTCAATTCTACAATTGAGAGCTGAATTGAGCTAGAGTAACATTTGGTTGAAGCTAGGGTTTGTAAGCCTCTTACTTTGAAGCTATGTATAGATCAACAATGGCAATTGAAGCTGAACTCGTTGGCGCGACCTCAACTACTACAAATTTCCCTGCTGGAACTGCTACTTTTCCTACCATCGATCACAATCATCCTTTGTACCTGCAACCAACAGACACACCAGGTAGCTCCGTAATCTCTCTTCAACTTACTGGATCAGACAATTATGACTTGTGGAGTCGTGCAATGAGAATTGGCTTGCTAGATAAATGTAAACTAGGTTATGTTGATGGGAGATTTCCTATGTCTAAATTTGAGCCTGAGCTTCATGATATGTGGGAGAAAGTTAATGCTATAGTTCTCTCGTGGATAATGAATGCTGTGAGACCAGGATTGTTAGGTTGTGTATTGTATGCGTCTAGTGCTCATAGAGTTTGGGAGGATTTGAAAGAGAGGTTTGATAAAGTAAATGGCTCGTGAATACTCTATTTGCATAGAGAAGTTCATACACTTACCCAATGAATTATGACTGTAACTGACTACTTCTCAAGTCTTAGAAAGATGTGGGATGAGTTTGATGCCCTCATGCCGTGGTCGTCCATCCTGCTCGGTAGCACGTGTCTTCACCATCTATGAGAGAATAGAATAACAGAAATTTAGTACTAGAATCAACAGATTCGCTCGACAGGAATTCAAGAATGAGAAGTTTTTCCTAAAGGTTATGTAGCCTCTTGAGGATAAATACAGACGTTTCCATACCGATCCGCGAGACTCTACCATACCGGCTCATGACTCGCGAGACCAATGTAACCTAGGCTCCGATACCAACTTGTCACAACACCAATTACCCAAGTCGTGATGGCGTCTATCACAATACTAGGCAAGACAACCCAAATAATTAACCACAGTAAATTCCTTTTAACAAACCATTTTGCTAATACTGATTAAGTTTCAAATTTGCAAGGGAAATAATTAATTCACTGAAATGTGCGGAAAGACAATATATCCACAAAACCAAAAACAACCCAACCATCTGGTGTCACAAGTCTATAGCCTCTAAATACAACCAGTTCGACTGTCTAATACATGATAAGTCTAAAATGCAGAAAAGAACAAGGATAGGAAGGAGGAAAGCAAGGCTGCGGAAGCCTTGCAGCTACCTTCTAGTCTCCGATAAGCTCCGAAAATGCTGGGAACCCTCACTCTGCTGCTCGGGCACCTGAATTTGCACACAAGGTGCAGGGAATAACGTGAGTACGCCAACTCAGTAAGTAACTAAAGTAAATAAGGTCTGAGTGCAGTGACGAGCAGTTAAGAATCATATATAAGAGTATACAACAGAATATCAAGTCAACTTAACAATTTAAAATCCAGTTACTTCGTAAAACTTCAATTTAAATTGAAATACATTGAAATCATTTACTTAGCATTTTTCAACAGAGGCTCATTAAAAAAAAAAGAGTGAAATCAACAAAAATGTCATAAATGGGCTCCTCGGGCAAGGTATCACTCACAAATATAGCCTCTCGGGCAAGCCTCTCGATCACTCGTGACTCAACTCTCGTCATACTGTACTCACACTCAGGCTCAAAAATATCTCATAGTAGTAATAATCATAATAATCGCTACAGCGTGCAACCCGATCCATAGTTTATAGTAGACTACGCTCACTGGGGGTGTACAGACTACGGAGGGTCTCCAACAGCCCAACCGTCATATCACTGCGGCGCACAGCCCGATCCAATATATATATCGCTGCGGCGTGCAGCCCGATCCATATAATATCGCTGCGGTGTGCAGCCCGATCCATAATATATACATATAATATTGCTGCGGCGTGCAGTCTGATCCATAATAAATATATATATATATATATATATATATATATATCCTCAACCTCTCTCAGTCATTAACCTCACAACCCCTCGGGCATAATAGTGGAAATCAGGGAAACTCAGCCAGTTTTCATATTTTAAGAAATAGAGTGATAAAAACCAGGTATAAATAATAAACAGGCAAAACATGACTGAGGATATGCTTTCAAAAATATAGAGTGAGGAAAACAGTAAAAATGCCCCTAAGGGTCTCAACAGGTCGGCACAAGGCCCTAAAACATGGCATACAACCCATAATATAGTATCAATCTCTAAAATACGTGATATCTTAAGATTTCAAATAAAGTACGCAGCTTAATAGTCTCCACGGGACGAACCAAGTCACAATCGCTCCTGGTGCACGCCAACACACTCGTCACGTAGCATGTGCGTCACCTCATTTATCAAATCAATACGAAATACCGTGGTTTTATACCCTCAGTTCCAGATTTACCATGGTTACTTACCTCAAACCAGATGAAATACTATCGTGACGCCTTTGCCTCTCACCTCGGCCTCAACTCGCGTCGAATCTACCCAAATCAGAATCATAACATTAGAATAAGCTAAGGCAACGAAGCCCATGCGAAAATAATCAAATTATACCAAAAATCCCAAAATTGGTCCAACCCGACCCCCGGGCCCACATCTCGAAATTCAATAAAATTTATATCAATAGACTCCTTATCTCCCCACGAGTTCATACATATCAAAAATATCAAAATCTGACCACAAATGACTCCTCAAACCCTTGCTCAAAGGTCTCCAATCTCCAGCACTAGTTTTCCAATTCTTAACCCTTAATTTCCATTTATTCCCAAGCCAAATCAGTGAAATAACACCATAGAAGCGAGTTTAGGGTCCAAAAACCTTACCTCTATGGAATCCCCTTGAAATCCCTCTTCAAATAGCTCCCCCAAGCTCATACCCGCATACAAATGGTGAAGAACAACCCAAAAATCGCGAAGGAATTCCTTTATACCTTCTGACCCAGGTATTTCGCACCTGCGGCCCAAAATGCACTTCTGTGCTACCGTTTTGGCGGCCCAAGACACCATATCTGCAGTTTTCACTTAACGTCCAGGTTCCGCATCTGGGTTGTTTCCTCGCACCTACGCTACTACAGGTGCGCTTCCTTAGCCGCTTCTGCGGTTCCATCTCCCCTTGGCCCATTCCGCTTCTGCGACTTTCTTTCCGCATCTGCGAGGGTCGCACCTGCGCCCTCTCAACCGCAGATGCAGTTATGACAGCACACTTAGCTTCAGCTGCCATGTCCAATTCCAAACTTTCCGTCAACCATCCGAAATCACCCCGAGGCCCCCGAGACCCCAACCAAAAGTGTGAACAAGTCATATACCACCATCCAAACTTATACCAATCTTCAAAACACCTCAAACAACATCGAAACAACCAAAACACATCGGATTCATGCCTAAGAACTCTAAACTTTCGAATTTCGTTTTGATCAAAAAGTCTATCAAACCTTGTCCGAATGGCCTGAAATTTTTCACATACATCCCAAACGACACAACGGACTTACTGCAACTCCCGGAATTCCATTTCGACCCCTATATCAAAATCTCGCCTATGAACCGAAAAATGCCAAAATTTTAATTTCGCCAATTCAAGCCTAAATCTACTCCACAGAGGACCGTAAGTTGAAGAACAGAATGGCGAGAGAAAGTAACAGCAAGGCCCGGTCTACGGGCAACATGGGAGAGTCGCTAGGTGGGGGAAGATGAGCTTTTAGGGGAGGATCATCAGGGCCTTCCCAGTCTGTTGCATAGTCTTCAGCCAGTGCACCGCCATCAGGGCCCAGCCAGCAGCAGTGGAGTCGTTTCAGGCCCGGTCAGGGCAACAGGGGATTCCACCAGCGAGGTCGGTCAGGGGAGAGGTTTCAGCAGCAACAGAGATCCTCGTGCCCCAAGTGCGGGAAGATGCACTCGTGGGTCTGCTACACGGAGTTGCCTATATGTTATGGATGTGGGATGAGGGGCCATATTCAAAGACACTGTCGTGCATCTCGCCAGGGAGCGGGTAGGGGCCCGGCTCAGCCCTCCAGTCCAGCAGCTGCCACATCTTCAGCTCCCTCTCTAGCTCGAGGTGCCCCAACAACCGCAGATCGTGGCGCAGCTAGGGGTGGTATACAGAGTTCGGGAGGTCCCAGCCGATTCTATGCTATGAGTGGCCGTGAGACTGCAGAGGCTTCTCCAGATGTTGTTACAGGTATTTTGATTGTCCAATCTCATGATGTGTATGCGCTTATTGATCCTGGTTCCACTTTATCCTATGTTACCCCGTTTGTTGCTATGAGATTTGGGATAGAACCGGAGCAGCTTCATGAGCCATTCTCAGTATCCACCCCAGTTGGTGAGCCAATTTTGGCTGCTCGAGTTTATAGAGGTTGTGTTGTTATGGTGCGTGGTAGGGATACCGTGGCCGATCTAATCAAGTTGGGAATGGTGGATTTCGATGTAATAATGGGAATGGATTGGCTTTACTCATGCTTTGCCAAACTTGATTGTAGGACTAGAACCATTAGGCTTGAATTTCCTAATGAGCCCATCATCGAATGGAGGGGAGATAATGTAGTGCCCCGTGGTCGGTTTATTTCCTACCTTAAGGCCGCAAAAATGATCAAGAAGGGGTGTATCTATCATCTAGTTCGAGTTGCAGACACCAATGCCGAGGCACCTAGCCTTGATTCTATACCAGTTGTGAATGAATTTCCAAATGTCTTTCCAGATGAACTCCCTGGGATTTCGCCAGACAGGGAAATTGATTTTGGGATCGACGTGATGCCAGGCACACAGCCTGTATCGATTCCACCTTACAGAATGGCACCGGCAGAATTGAAAGAGCTAAAGGAGCAATTGAAGGATTTGTTAGAGAAGGGTTTCATCCGGCCAAGTGTGTCGCCATGGGGCGCATCGGTCTTGTTCGTAAGAAAGAAGGATGGATCACTACGGATGTGTATTGACTACCGGCAACTTAACAAAGTTACAATCAAGAACAAGTATCCCCTGCCAAGGATAGATGACTTATTTGACCAATTACAAGGTGCTATGTGTTTCTCAAAGATCGACTTGAGGTCCGGGTATCATCAATTGAAGATAAGGGAACAAGACATTCCAAAAACAGCTTTCAGGACACGTTATGGGCACTTTGAATTTATGGTGATGTCTTTCGGGCTAACAAATGCCCCAGCAGCTTTTATGGATCTTATGAATCGGGTCTTCAAGCCGTTTCTAGACTCCTTCGTGATTGTTTTCATTGACGACATCCTTGTGTATTCGCGGAGTCGGGAGGATCATGCCTATCACCTCAGGGCAGTTTTGTAGACTCTTCATCAGCACCAATTATATGCGAAATTTTCAAAATGTGAATTCTGGCTTGAATCTGTCACGTTCTTGGGTCATGTTGTTTCCAGGGAAGGAGTTATGGTTGACCCTCAGAAGGTTGCGGCAGTAAAGAATTGGCCCAGACCTACCACTCCAACGGAGATTCGTGGCTTCTTGGGTTTAGCAGGGTACTACCGGAGGTTTGTGGAGGGGTTCTCTACCCTCGCCTCCCTATTGACCAAATTGATGCAGAAAGCAGTTAAGTTCCAATGGTCCGACGCTTGTGAGAAAAGTTTTAAAGAATTGAAGACCAGGTTGACCTCGGCACCGGTATTGGCCTTGCCGGAAGGAACGAAAGGGTTTGTGGTTTATTGTGATGCCTCCAGGGTTGGTTTGGGGTGTGTATTGATGCAGCATGGGAAGGTTATAGCATATGCCTCAAGACAACTCAAGAATCACGAGAAGAACTACCCGATGTATGATTTGGAGCTTGCAGCAGTTGTATTTGCTTTGAAAATATGGCGGCATTATCTTTATGGGGTTCATGTAGATGTGTTTTCAGACCACAAGAGCCTCCAGTACTTATTCAAGCAGAAAGAATTGAATTTAAGGCAGCGGCAGTGGTTAGAACTGCTCAAGGATTATGACATGAACATTTTATACCATCTAGGGAAGGCGAACGTGGTGGCCGACGCTCTCAGTCGAAAATCCATGGGTAGTTTGGCTCATTTGGGAGTGGATCGAAGGCCCTTGGGTCGGGAGGTTTATCAATTGGCCAGTTTAGGGGTTGGCATTTCGGCATCAGATAAGGGGAACATCATGGTGCATAATGGAGCAGAATCGTCACTTGTAGCGGAAGTCAAGGAAAAGCAGTTTAGTGATCCAGCATTGGCTGAGATAAAGGAAGCAGTTTTGAATAACAAGACTTCGGCATTTTCACTTGGCAGCGAAGATGGTGTTTTGCGGTGTCAAGGTAGGTTATGTGTTCCGGATGTGGATAGGCTTCCGGAGAGGGTGATGGTAGAGGCTCATAATTCCAGGTATTCCATGCATCCAGGTTCTACGAAAATGTATCATTATCTCAAGGAGGTTTATTGGTGGAACGGCATGAAGAGGGGTGTGGCGGACTTTGTATCTAAGTGTTCAAATTGTCAGCAAGTGAAGGCCGAGCATCAGCGGCCGAGCGGGCTAACTCAGCTTATGGAAATACCGATGTGGAAATGGGAGATGATTAACATGGATTTCGTGGTGGGGTTACCTCGCACTCAGCACAAATTCGACTCAATTTGGGTAATAGTGGATCGACTCACCAAATCAGCTCACTTCTTGCCGGTCAAGTCCAGTGATACTGCTGAACAATATGCCAAGCTGTATATCAAGGAGATAGTAAGGCTTCATGGCACTCCACTTTCTATTATCTCAGATCGAGGGACCCAGTTCACAGCTAATTTTTGGAAGAAATTTCAGCAAGGTTTGGGTACTCAAGTGAATCTTAGCACAGCTTTCCATCCACAGACTGACGGTCAGGCCGAGCGGACTATTCAAACGCTTGAAGATATGTTGCGAGCTTGTGTCTTGGACTTCAAAGGTAACTGGGATGATCACTTGCCGCTTATAAAATTTGCTTACAATAACAGCTTTCATGCCAGCATCCAGATGGCCCCATTTGAAGCATTGTATGGAAGAAGGTGTAGGTCTCCGATTGGGTTGTTCAAAGTGGGTGAAGCAGAACTGATAGGGCAAGATCTTGTGCACCAGGCTATGGAGAAAGTTAAAATCATTCAGGAAAGGATGAAGACTGCTCAGAGTCGCCAAAAGTCTTATGCGGACGTTCGTCGGAGGGAATTGGAATTTCAAGTTGGCGATTGGGTGTTCTTGAGGGTATCCCCTATGAAGGGGATCATGCGCTTCGGAAAGAAAGGTAAGTTGAGTCCTAGGTATGTCAGGCCTTATCAGATCGTTCAAAGGATAGGGCAGGTGGCCTATAGGTTGGAATTGCCTCCCGAAATGTCATTAGTGCATCCGGTGTTCCATGTGTCCATGTTGAAGAAAGTGGTTGGAGATCCGTCCACCATCGTGCCAGTCGAGACTATCAAGGTTAGTGAAGAGCTGTCGTATGAAGAGGTTCCGTTTGCCATTCTTGATAGACAAGTCCGTAGGTTGAGAAATAAGGAAGTTGTCTCGGTTAAGGTCTTGTGGCGAAGTCAAAAAGTCGAGGAAGATACGTGGGAAGCGGAGAAAGAAATGAAAGAGAAATATCCCTATCTATTCGATCAAGTCTAGAAGAAATTATGTGACCTTCCTATCTCTAAAACAATTACCATTGTGTCCAAGTTGATTCCTTCCTAAGTGCTAGTGAAGTTCCTCTAGTTGTGCAAGACTTATAGATGTAGGGATTGTTTAAAGTCATGTGAACATTTCTTTGGTAAATGAAATTTTAAAAGACTCTTGTGATAAGTAATCAATTAATGGTGGTATAAGTTGGTAATGAATTACTTGTATGCTTGTAGTGTGTTGAAATGGCTAAATTATGTGAAACTCATTGAAATAACTGATTCATAAGCAAAGCATATCGAGTGATCAAATGTATGCATTTGTTAAGGTAAGGATTTGTATACTAGCTGTAAGGGTAGTTGAAATTGTGTATTGGTGCTCAGAATTATGTTTTGGGGGCCCTCTGTCAGGTGGAGATGTTCTAATTACAAAGGAAACACTGGCAAAAATTTTCTAAAAATTTAGGAAATAGTGAAAGGTGTAGGAATCTGCATAACATGTTTTCAAAACCAAATGATCTTCGAATATACTAAAAAGCTTGAAACAGGTCCTCATTCGGGGACGAATGATTTTAAGTGGGGGAGGATGTGAGGCCCCGTAAAATTTTTGGCTCATAAACCAGAATCTTGTGGTGTCGGCTTCGAACACGTGTTAGGAATGTGCTCGCCGCGGTTCGGACCCTTGGTATTTATCTAAGCTTTTAAAACTTAAAAGAATCAATTTCCAGAAAAATGCCATTATGCGGCCCAGAATGCGGTCGCAGATCCAAAATGCGGACCGCATTACCACCGCATAACGAAACAGTGGTTTGGTTAAAACTTGAGGTCAAGATGCGGTCCAAAATGCGACCGCATAATTGATATGCGGAACGCATTTTTACCGCAGAGTGGAACAGTAGAGTTGTCAAAATTAATGTTGAAAATGCGGTCTATTATGCGATCGCATAACGAATATGCGGACCGCATAGTCGTCGCATATTCTCCTTTGAATTTTGTGAATGTCAGTTCTGCGGTGCACTATGTGACCGGAGAACATGAATGCGGACCGCATTCCTGTCGCAGACCCAAACAAAATGCTCAGAGTTTTGGGGGCAATTCTGCGGTCCAATCTGCGGACCGCATTTCAACTCTGCGATCGCAGAATGCGATCGCAGATCTTGCTCGGCTTCTTTTTTTCCTTTTCTTTTTCTTTTCTAAATTTTAACCCCGACCCCTTTTTAATAAAACACCCCAACCCCCTCATTTTTAACAAGCTTCTGAACAAATAAGAGAGAGGGAGAGAGGGTTCTTGAGAGAGAAAGCCACCTTCTTCAAATTTGATCCTTGAAAACTATCCGGGCGGGGAAATTTCAAAGCAATTATCTTCATCCCCATTCCTGCAGGTAAAATCCCTAACTATTTTCATTTAAATTCTGGTTTAATCTAAGGGGAGGCAGTCTCATGCATTGGCTCTTGAAAATAGTGGTTAAAATTGTGCATGCATGTCTACTAAACCCTAGAACCTAGTGGGAGTAATCGGGTGAGAGCAAAGACTTGTGCAAAGAAGGGGCTAGTAACCTAGATATCACACCTCCTTTTTTACACACCTACCCCAAAGGATAAATGTATAAGGGAGTTTTTCCATTTAAAGTGACATTATTCGAAATGGGATCATTTATTTCTTTTTTTTTTTAGAGTCGCCACTTGGGATAGGATTTGGCTTTTGGTGTCCCAAGTCACCGGTTTAAATTGAATCCCAAATCGAGAAAAATTTCGACTTCCCAATTGGAGTCTATGAACCAGAAATTCTGAATAAGGAATTCTGTTGACCCGAGGGAAGGTGTTAGGCACCCGCGGATCCCGTGGTTCTAGCACGGTCGCTTAAATTATTTTAAATGGCTAAAAATCTAATTTTTTGCATGTTCCAACCTATAGTGCAATTTTAAGATTATTTACCGCTTTTAGTTATCTTGTTTTTACGAAAGTGAACGCCGTTTAAGAGCGTGTTTTTGGATCACGTCACATGAAATGCACCCGGATCCTCAACACCTCTTATTCAACGTTTTGGGATTTGGATTTGGGTTGCATGAAAAGCACACCCGAGTTTAGAAAAGTAATATTATTAAAAGCGCGCCTAAAGTGGCTAGCGTCTTATTAACTTTGCGGGAAACCATGAAAATTCGCTAAATGGCATGTCCCGAATCTCTAAAATATTTTAATATAGTATTTAATGAGGGGCCCGCAATTTATGCATTTTTGTTTGGCGAGGCTCATCTCACTTTTATTACTTAAAGGTCGACTTAGAGCAACTAAGATTTTCTATTTAATTATTTGTCTCTAATGGGCTAATTGATTTACATCTATAAATTCCAACCTCAAATTCAAGTCTGAATTCAAACAAAAGGGAGGACCTTTTTAATTTGAACTCGCCACCTAATTTGAAATCCAAATTTATACTTGCGAATCAATTCCCCATATTCCTAATACAATTTTAAGGGTATTGATCTATAACAAACTTTTGTGCCTGTTAACAAGAATCCCCATCAAACACAACAAAAATTAATCGAAGGACCGAAAACTATTAAATGCAAATATGATATATATCATGCAATATCTTCAGGTAATGTCACTATCCCCAAAATTCAAAACAAGACAAATTTAACAAACCTAAGCCATATCTTAAACTAACTCACGGCTAAAGAGATAAGAGAAAGAACATAACGAAAATTATTTGCAAACTTAAGGAACAGAATAATCACTGTGTAATCTAGAGAGCAAATACTATTCCTTGGGTTCAGGCTACTTATTTCAACGATAATCCTTAGCATAGAAAAGGTAAAATCAGTAATTACATTTCTTGAATTGAGACAAATACCTCAACCCATGATAACAAAAGGGAGAAAACCGGAAACCAGCAGAAGCAGATTCAACAAGAAGAACGCAGCAATAACCAAAAAAAATGCAGCTATAATTTTTCTTTTTGCAAGTTCTCTGTGATTTATTGGTATTTTTATATCTAAAAACCAAAACTCCTAGCTTATCTCCCTCTTTTCTGTTCGAATCTTGAGTGAAGTTTCATGGGTTGTTCGTTTTTTTTAGAGAAGATGGAGCTGCTAAATGGGTGTAGAAGAAGGGAATTGGAGAAGAAGAAGGGGAGGGTGTTCATTTGTTTTTGTTCAGAGAGAGGGAGATTTCTTGTGTTTTTTTTCTCTTTTTAGAAATGGGCGCCGTTGCTATCGAGAGAGAGGGGGGTCTCATCTTTTTCAGAGAATGGCCATGGGAGGGGGCGCCGTTTCTTTTTTGTGTAGGGTCTAAGATTCCCTTTTTAGTTTCCAAAATTGTCTTTTTATAGGTAGGTGGTAGGGTAAAGGGTAATGGGTATTTGGGTAGGGAGATTGGGCTTGGGTTGGACAGATTTTGGTGCCATTTATTTGGGCTGATTTTGACTTTAAAATGGCCCAAGTTCCGAATTTAAACCCAATTAAATAAACTCCTTATTTCCTTTTCTTTTTTTTTAATTATAAATCCTAGAAATTAAAATTCTATATTATCTATAAATGTGAAATTAAACTAATTAACTAATTATAAAATTTATAAAAACTACTTAATCCTAAATTAAAAGAGGAAAAAATCAATAAAAGGAAAAAGTGTAAAAATGAAGCATTTTTTGTGATTTTCGATTTTGATAAAATATGTAACTATCGATTAATCCTAAAAATGTAAAAGTAAGGCCTAAATGAAAATGCAATGTACTTTTGGTATTTCCATGATTTAAATAAAACTTAAACATGCGCAAAAAATGCAAACAATCAAAAAAATTCTACAAAAATTCCTGACATGACAAATATTTAACAAAATCTATTTTTCTTGGGATTTTATAGGAGTATTTCATATAGGGCAAAAATCACGTGCTTACACTAGATATGTTCGGGTAGTGGTTGTGAAGCTTGAATTTTAAGTTATGTGTATTAATTTGTGCACTATATGGATGTTGCTAGATTATTTGGTGAATTGGAGGTAGAAATTAAAAAGGGACTCAACCCCAGGTATGTATGGCTAAAATCCCTTTTATTAGAAATTGAGCTCCGTTGTCATTTATGAAAGCATGGTAAGAGTTGAATTCGTTAGCATATTGCTTGTTATTACGCAGTAATTGATATGCAATTATCTGTACATATTCGTGAAGGATGTGCCCCAACGTGAATAATGTGCCAATTTTGACAATTTGATAATGACGGAAAGTACAGTTATGTGTGGAAATACTTGGGCTATAAGCCAACATTGGAACAAAGAATTATTCATGCTAGCTATGTGCTCATTTACCTGTGATTGCAATTTGAAGTATCCTCAATATATGTGTATATGTTCACAACTTGTAAAATGAATATCAAAAAAGGGAAACGATGTGATGATGGTGGCCATGAGTGCCCCAGGAATTGTTATGTTATGTGTGGAATAAAGATTTGAAGTGTTGGCTAATGAGAATGGAGAAATGCCTCTAACGAGGTGACCTAGCCGATCGGGTCGTGATCGGACACCATGCCGCACACATGGTGGTAATGTGCTGATATTGGATTCCGGATAAAGGAAATGAAATATTGATTGAGAGTAATGCCTCCAATGAGGTGACCTAGCCGGTCGGGTCGTGATCGGACTCCGCTTGGGATAGCGGTGGTAATGAGAACAGTGGTGAACACGTGACAGAAATGCCCTAATCAATGTTGTGGAAATTGTATGAAAGATTATATGAAATTGTTGTGGAAAAAGGTAGTTTTGGGCCTTCCAAGCTAAGTAGCACACTTGAATTAAGATGTTCCCCTCTTATTTAAGTGTGGACTTGAGTTTGAGACCCGAATTCCTTGAAAGTTAGTTAATTAATTAACTCGACCCTTAGAGACAATCTTTAAATCGTAGTTCTTTTAGGTTGGCCTTAAAAATAAATTGAGGTGCGCCGCACCAAATGAAATGACAAATTGCGTGGCCCTCTTCAAATGTATATATTCAAATACTTAGAATTCGGGACGTGCCATTTTGCGAATTTTCATGGCCTCCCGCAAAGTTAATGACACGTTAGCCGCTTTAGGCGCGTTCTTTAATAATTTTACCTTCCTAAATTCGGGTCTGCATTTCATGCGACCCAAATCCAAATCCCAAAATGTTGAATAAAATGTGTCGAGGATCCGGGTGCATTTCATGTGACGTGATCCAAAGACATATTTTAAACGACGTTCAATTTCATAAAAAATATAAAATTAATTAAAAGCGGTAAATAATTTTTTAAAAATTGCACTATAGGATGCAATGTATTAAAGTCAGATTTTAGCCAAATATAACAGTTGAGCGACCGTGCTAGAACCACGGAACTCGGGAGTGCCTAACACCTTCTCCCGGGTTAACAGAATTCCTTACTCGGATTTCTGGTTCGCGACTGTTAAACAGAGTCAAACCTTTTACTCGATTCGGGATTCGAACCGGTGACTTGGGACACCATAAATCTTCCAAGTGGCGACTCTGATTTTTAACAAAATGAATCCCGTTTCGATTGTCCTTTAATTGGAAAAACTCCCTTTATTATACCCTTCACGGGGTGTAGTAGTGAAAAAGGAGGTGTGACAGCTCTGGCGACTCTGCTGGGGACTAGAACCCAGAACTTTTGGTTCAGGGTTCAGAATTCGAGCTCAGTTAAATTGTTATATTTGGCTTTATCTGATTTTGTTACATGTTTGGGCTTAATGTGCTAAATGCTTTACCGCTTTGATATTTAGTGAATTGTATATATAAACTGTTGCGAATCCCTTCCTCTCTCTGTGTCTTCCACATCATGGAGAAGGGGCACTTCGTGTAGCTTCTCTTCTGTTTAGAGTCTTTTCCGATTTAGAACGAGGTTTGGATAAGTTGCTAAGCCGGCGAAGCTTCTGTATCCCCGGTACGCTGCCTCCCCCTCGGCTCGAGTTGTTCGCTCGGGTAAGCCAGGTCTAGACCAATAAACCTAGGGTTTAAACCTAGATGAACAAAACCTCATGCCGGATCCCTAGTAGGAACGTTTGTTTGAATCATGTGCATTTGACTTAGGGGACTCAACACAGGGGTTGGGTCCATCTAGGACAGGTGACCTAAAATGAAAAATACCATCCTGATGCATCTTACGTGCTACTTGCGCATTTATTTGCCCGGCTTCGCATGTTGACCGGCTTGTATATAATGAAAGAAAATTGAGAAAAATAGCAGTGTTAGGACTAAGTGAGGGTAACCACTTGTTTTGAAAAACCAATGCCCAAATAGTACCGAAATGCTGCTGAATTTTTGAAAAATGAAAAAAGGAAAGTATTTGAAAAAAGAAAAGAGATTGTTGTTTTGACAAATTTGCCCGAACTACGCTGGTTTGATTCTCACCGGATGTGAAATACGTAGGAAACCCTCATCGGGTCCAACCTCCCTTTTGCAAAAATAGCCAAAAATACCAAAACTTCAATTTTTGTCAAAATAAGTCGGGTGACGCCATTCTTGTTTAAAATAAGCCGAGTGTCCCCAAAAGGGCGCCGGAAGGCTGTTTTTGCAAGAACAGCCACCCTGAGTCATTTTTAAATGGTTTGCGGGCACAGCCTTAAAAACTCCCTCCCGGAAGTGCTGAAAGGCCGTATTTGCAAAACTGAGTCCTTGTTTTTTTTTTAAAATTTTGGAAAAATAGCCACTTTTTCTTTTAAGTCAAAATGAGTCGTTAAATAGCCATTTTCTTTAAATAGCCACATTTTTCCTTTTCGGTTAAAATAAGTCATCAAATTCCTTTAAATAAATGTGCAGGATAAGTACAGTTGACATTGAAACCTTCTCAGTCCTGAGTGAGATCCCTTTGAAGCTTCACATGTGGTGAAACGACTTAGGAAAAGGTAGCAGGGAAACGGTGGTCAAGGTTTTGGGTGGCCTCGTCGGACTATTAAACATCAAACCAAGAACGGATATTATTCAAGCACTGATACCATTCTGGGACCCAACTCGTAACGTATTCCGGTTCTCGGATTTCGAGCTTACACCCACACTAGAGGAGATTGCGGGATATGCGGGTCTCAACGGGAACCTTAGGAGCAGATACCCATTGGCACCAAGACCATTCACCCTCCACAGATTCTTGAACCCGTTGAGCATTAGTCCGGACATTCAAGATAAGCATCTAGCAGAAGGGTGTGGCACACTTCATTTCCTATTCCACCGATATGGCAACCTGCGAGGTTTCGAGGAGCCTAACACCAGTTTGACACACGCCGGGAACAAAGATAAATGGGAGGCCCGGCGGGGATTGGCTTTCATGGTAGCTTTTCTAGGGGCCGTGATCTGTCCATGAAAAGACGGTCATATAGATATTGGCCTTGTGGGAATGTTGGATGTTGCTATAAAGAAGTCTAACAGCACGGTAGTTCCCCTGATTGTGGCAGAAATGTATCGAGCTTTGACCTTATGCCGAGAGGGTGTAAAATTCTTTCAGGGTTGTAATCTGTTGTTATAGTTATGGATACATGAGCACTTTTGTCATCGCACGGGGTATATGAACTATGGTTTAACCGGGGTGAGTTGTATCGAGGAGTTTGGAACCCGGGTAACAGGTATTGAGTTCCCCGAGGGCACCGAGGCTTGGCTATCCTGTTTGATATCTTTGACTGCGGATAAAGTTGAATGGGCTTTCGGGTGGCTTCCCACTACTGAAGCTGTATGCACATCGGCAGAAGTACCTTATATTCTTTTGATGGGCATTCGAAGCATCCAACCCTACGCTCCTTACCGAGTTCTGAGGCAACTAGGAAGATTCCAAACTGTTCACAATGATGATGACCTGAGCGGACAAATCATTGAGTTAGGTCCAAAAGCTACATTTTCGGAAGGAAAAATCCGACAAATATGGAATGAGTGCAGCTACCTTGAGCCTAAGACTATAGTACAGGATCGGGCTAAAGGAGAGGTAGACCCCAAATACTTGACCTGGTTCGGCAAAAGGTTTCAGATTCCCGAGAGACCCGCCAAAAGGCCACATGTACAACAATTCACTGACGGAGCCCAGGTACAATGGGATTGGCTAGCCAAGGAAAAGGAATACCGGGCCAGGATAGGGGCGCTGGAGCAGCAGGTCCGAGATCTTCAATTTGAAAAGAGTGTGCAAGCTGCAGCTGACGAAGGTGACAAAAGAAATTGACTCAAGAGAATGAGGTTCTTAAAGAGCAAAACCGACAAATGAAAATAGCTGCTAAAAATCAAGAAAGAAGTTGGTCCGATGAGAGATTGATAAATGGGCTGACGAAGCAAGTCTTAGAGTGCCAAGATGA